TTTAATCGTTACGTATCGATTCCTGATTCTTATGAATCATTTTTAACTTGACGCGTTGGCGGAGTGCAACTGACTAACAACATTAATTATAAAATGATGGCCATCTAGTATATGGCACAATTTTTTTTTTTTTTTGTTTTTTTAAATCGATGTGTAATTTTGATTTATTGGTGGGGGAGTAGTTGTGTGCCTACGTGCCAGGGGCTCATCTCTGCAAGCAACTTGCTAATAAATATGATAATCGATTTTAATCGTTACATATCGATTCCTTGGCCTGAATTTAATGTGTTAGTGGATGCAACTGTCCAACAAAAACATGATAGTCAAAATTTTATATAATTAATATATATTTTTTATTTAAGTTTACTAGATCTTTTGCCGAATGACTATTGTCGAAGAGTTAAAGAACTCTTGGTTTAATGCACGACCGGATTTATTTAAGACCACTCGCATGGCTATTCGTTTAAATTGGAGTGTCGTGCAGGTACTCAATGAATTCAATTTCTCGGCACCGCGAGTCATGATCAAGCGATTCCCTTTTTTTTTTTCTCCTCCCTCCGCTTTAAGGATCCCTCACATCTTTTAAGTCCAGTGTTATCATTCTGTAGAGATTAACGTATGGCCATATGCACCTATATTTCATCGTACTCGTTAAGTTCGTCATACGACATCCAGTGTTTCGGGTGAAACCCGAATTTGCAAATCAAATTGGGCGAAACGTTTCGGACTTTGGGGGAGGTTTAGGCCGAAACACTGATGACATCCCGGGTCCCTTCATTTTTCATAACAACCAGCAATATGCATCTTGTTGACAACTTCTCTCCGAGTCTGTATTCTCAAATAAAATATCGTATCAAATGTCAAATCTATATCGATTTCCTTTTCAATTTTGATTCTATTATCATGAGCCATATCCACGCCTCAGTTCACACCATTTCCATTTTCATTTCACCAATGTTTTCCATATCGCAGTTTCCAGGCTACTCTCTATTTGAAGCACCACTTTCAGCATTTTTCATGTACCACTTAAACGCTTCGTGACCAGCATAGAACCATATTCCATAGATTTCAACACCTTTTCCACTCCTACGATAATCTCTGATTCGTAACGACAATGATCATAGACATTAAGGGTTCTTTTGGTAAGTCCCATCTCAGATGATTTTTTATAATTGGTAAACGCCTTATGTCCAATATTTCAACTTCGATGCCACATCCAGGCGCAAGTTTTGATGGTAGAATGTTTTATGTTTATCTTTTCTGGCACACCTAATCAAGGTAGTTTTTTTTACATCCAACAAAGATCCAGATTTAGTCACTTGGAATTTACTCAGTTCACCGTAAGTTGCTTTACCGTCAAATTTTGGTTTCTATTTTATAATTAAAGCTTTCTTAAAAGTGCAATATTAAATATTGCCACTCCATTTGTCGATAGTCAGTCCAATGGGCAGGTTATTCAGCTTGCATATGGTAATTACACAATATCTAACAATGGAGGATTCAGTCTAAAAGATAATGCTGTGTTTTGCACTAATGACGGAAATTATGGAATGATGCTAGTTACACAAAATAAAATCCATCCCAACTACACATACAATAATGTCTCATTTTTAGATCCACAAATTGTAGCATATGTCACATTCATGGATCAAAAAACAAAATCATTTACAAATAATTCATTTATCATATATGAAAATAATCTATATATGAATAAAATTGATGGTGCGTTCTGTTATACCCAATATGATGGAACAGGATATATTTGTATATTTAGAGAAACCCCTGATTACGTAAATTTCTTCCATCCGAGAATTAGCTTTCTTTCTAGTGGTGCTACAACTAAAGTTCTGATTTCGAATGTTACGGGTAATCTTAGTTCTACAGCATATGTTTTTTTCCTCTTTTATATAGTGGAACAGTTGAAATCTTCTAATAATTATACTTTTAATTTTTATGATATCAACGGCGTAAGGGAAGATCTCCAAAGATTTCCAAATGTAACAACCTTAAGAGACAGTTTTGGTGGTTTTCTAAACATATTTGGCATATTTCAACATAATAATTCTTTATGGGCAGCATTAATATCTGATAGAAACACCTGGAAAATAATGTCTATTGAACTTCCGAAGTTCAGAAACTTAAGTAAATACTATTTTATGCCATATCGGCGAATTTGCGGAATTGACCTAAATTAAGGTCCATATATTTTAACAATGCGATTGTAAAACTGACCCCAAAATTTCAGCTATTATGCATTCCGCAATTGTTAAATCCAGGGACCCGAATTTAGATCCATCCGCAAATCCGCCGATATGCCCTAAAAATTTGTTCGATCGGCATTTTGATCAACGTACTATACCGATATGTAATGATATTATTGAAATTACGCCATAATTTCGCTGAAATCATCAAACCGCCAATCATCAATACTCAATTTGATTAGTCCCTAGACAGAACCTTTTTCATATATCAGCTAGTATTAATTTTTACTACATAAAAAATTATAATGATTCATATTTTTTTTTAATATAGTATAATAATATTTAATGATTTATCTGCTACTGGCAATTGATTTGCATCAGCCAATCATATGAAAGTCTTATGTGTGTCCTTTGAATCCCTCGCTTATTTTTTGGTGTAAAACTGCTAGATACCTGATCATTGTTACTTATACTTCAATGGTGCAAGGGATATTAAGTTTAATAATAAATATTATAACTCACATAAAATTAATACGAAACTAAGGTACTATTTGCAAAATGGTAAAATATTCACGAACTTGGATAGTTTATTTTAAATATTTCGATTATTAATAATAGAAGTTCTCAATACTCATTCACTGATCGTTAAAAAAATTTTTTTAATAAAAATTTTACTTCTTCAAATAAAAACACAATGATTATTTTGTACGAAAAATATATATAAACTTGATAGTTTCTTTTTCTAACTTTAGCCACAATTTTTTTTTTTTATTGGATTCTAGTTAGTGTTCCGCAAAAAAGATACGAACGGATCCGGAATTTTTAATGGGTATTAAAGTAGCATTTTACAAAGGATACTCGAACTAAAACTGTGCATATAATTAATATGGAAAACACACTACCGGCAACAGGCACTACTTGTCTCTCACATGTACCTGTAGCAAATAGCAGTCTTTCAAACTCGCTGCATAAACCACCTGCTACTGGCGATAGAAGCATGTGACAGGCAAATAGAGCTTAGTGCGCTTTCCATATTAACTATACGTACAGTTTCAGTTCTGGTATCCTTTGTGAAATGCTAAATTTATACCCATCAAAAATACCGGATCCGTTCGGATCTTTTTCTGCGGAACACTACTTCTGAGTCATTTATAACTGAAATGACCCAATGACTAGCCATTTATCATCTGGGTCATTTAAGTCATTTTAGGTCATTTATCATTATTGGAGTAGATGAAGAAACCATCTAGTCAAATTACTTTTCTAAAAACTATTAGGAAAACTTTGTCGAAGAGTGAAGAGTTTATGATTTACAGCCTAAAAGTTTTATTTTTTGGGAGTGAAAAGCTTTCACTTTTATAATTCTTTTTCACATATTGTACATATATTCGATATGATTATTAGATCTATCATATCATTTTTATTCAACATATCCTGTCTAGTCGCTAAATCACTTTTAGTTTCTTAATTTGAAAATGAAATATAAAGGTTTAATAATTTATATAGCATTGATTTAACAATTTGATTGCTTTTTTTTAGGTTGACACTATTGATCGAAATTAAGACATATATTTTTTGAGGTTTGGAATATTATCCTAAATGAAGTAGAAATTCTGATTTCCAAGCCCAAAATTATGTACTAAATGTCATAATTCAAAGTAAATGCTTGAATTGTAAACCTTATTCATCTAAATCATCATAGTCTTCAAAGTCTGGTGACCGTCCACCTCCGATTACTCGATGACTACTCTGATATGTTCCTTCATCATCTTCTTCCCTTTCATTTTGTTCATTGTCGTCGCCATAATCTCCGTGAGAAAGACCTCCCTCTGGTCGAACATGTTCTGATGCATCGACCCAGTCTGAATATACATCAATAGGATCACTTAAAGCTGCATGCAAGATTGTAAAAAATTAATGAATTAAAAATAAAAAATAAACAAGGTAATAATAAAAAAGAGAGATATATATAAAAGCGACTACAATTTATCATTGATTGAAAGCCAACACCGCATATCCTGCAAGTCAAGTTTCCGATTTGTGTTTCCTTTTGCCTGATTGATCATAATAAATTTTAATTCAATCAAGTATGTATCAACATTATTTCAACAACTGTCTAAGGAAAAAAAAACGAAAACTTGCATTTTAACATCAACGCTTTTCTCATGATTACAAAAAATGCAATCGAACTGAGTGTCGAGAACAAGTTTTTTCTTGGCCACGCGTTTTCTCTTGGTTTTACGCTTTCCCATCGTTTACGATCCTTGAAAAAGATCTAATGACGGAAACACAACGAGAAGGAAGCTATCGTAACGAAACTTAAGGTTTGATATTCTAATTGTTTAATATTTCAATTACGTATCATCATACTGCCAATTATAAGGTGACATCTTTTATATATCCCTTCCCGTGACCATTTAAATTATATTTAAGTATAGTATGGATCAGCATATATATTTCAAAAGATAAAAGCATAAGCCTCAGTTTGTTTGTTCTGATTTTTATACATTGCATTTCCTTCTTTTTTGTGTGTGTGTGTTTAGCATTTTGCGTACTTCTGGATCAACCCTTCTGCTCTTATTACTCTTATTTCCTGCCTTTTAATGTCGGTAAAAGATAGGACTTCCGAATTTCACGCTGCTGTAGAATCGATCCGTTCAAGGTCTTCAAATGGTCACGGTGGCTTTCAGGCAAGGCACAATTTGGAACATCGTCGACCTTTGCTGGGCGGTAATAATACCGGAGGCAAACCTATTAATGGTTCGAATGGGTTAAATAAAGGTGAATTCTCAAGGATGGCTGGAGCGATTGGGAAAGATATTAATATGACGACAGCAAAATTACAGAAATTGACGAAATGTAAGTAAAATTCTGTTCCGTTTAAGATTTTAATTATATATTTCCTTAATTTGTATTTATTTATATAATTTCTTAACTTTATTTAATTTTATTTTATTTTTTAGTGGCTAAAAGAAAAACTTTATTTGATGATCGGCCCGTTGAAATTAGTGTGAGTTCAATTTAACAATCTATTTATTATTCACGCGATAATATATATTACTCGGGTGTTTGATAAGTCCCTAGACAGGACCTTTTTTTAATTACTAGATCATTAAATGTTATTATACTATATTAAAAAAAAAAAAAAAAAAAAAAGTAATAATTAGCAATCATTATAATCTTTTTATATAATAAAAATTAATACTAGCAGAGATATTAAAAAGTGTCTAGAGGCTTATCAAACACTCGGTATATATATACTTTTTAATTTTTTACACTTTAATTTTTGTGTTGGCCTTACCTGATCTTGTTGCTCTTTGAGCAGGAATTGACTTATATAATTAAACAAGATATTGCAAAAATAAATAAGCAAATAGCCCTTCTTCAACAATATGTTCGAGAACATAGAAAGAATAACAAACAGGCTGATGAACATTCTTCAAATGTGGTTGTCATGCTACAATCAAAATTAGCTAGTGCTAGTATGGGCTTCAAAGATGTGCTTGAAATTCGGACTCAGGTACGTTTATATAGCACTAGGGACGTTTACTGGTATAATTATCACTGAGTTCACAAAGATAAAATATTTAGAATATGAAAGAAAGTAAGGATAGAAGGGAACAATTTATGTTTTCAAGTAATCAGCGAGCCAATACTCCAGCAGGTGTGTGAACCTTCCATATGTTTAAGTAATATGGAATAAGACAAATTTCATCAACAATGTTATTCATATGTATGCCTTCAAAATTAATAGCAAATTCGCCGCTATATAACACTCAGAAGCGCAATGAGCAACAAAACACTGATTTTCTTGCTCTTGATATGTCGTCGGGTCAGGTTCAGCAACAACAATTACAATTGATCGAACAACAAGTATGTATAATACTATTTAATCATTACATTTAATCAAAAATCTGATAAAATATTTAAATTATTATTTTACTTGACAAGGATAATTATATCGAAAGTCGTGCAACTGCGATCGAATCAATTGAATCTACTATAGCGGAACTTGGTAATATTTTTCAACAACTTGCACAAATGGTAGCTGAACAGAGAGAGACTGTCCAAAGGTATTATTTTACAAACAAAATTTATGATAATAATTTATTATTGAATACTAATTTGATTAATTCCTATTGAACAGAATTGATGCAAACACTGACGATATTCAAACACATGTACAAGGAGCACAAAAAGAGTTGCTTAAATATTATGCAAGCATCTCTTCAAACCGCTGGCTTATGGTTAAAATATTTGCCGTGATAATATTCTTTTTTTTGATTTTTATTCTTGTTACTTGATAATGTATTCGTTCCTTATTCTTTCCTATCGAGTTTATTTAATATTTTCACTTTTGTTATTACCTTTTACGTGTAAATAACTGGACATATGGATGTGAAAATATTTTAATGATTGGCCTTAATAATTTTGAACATTACCTGTAATTTTAGACAGAAAATGTATAATCATGTGATGTATTTCATAAAATCTTTCAACTCTAGAATTAATCCTTACGTAATAATTTCTATAATTTAAATTACAAATTAAAATAAGCACTAGCCAATTTTAGCATCAACCATAATTTTTAATGTCTCGGCTGATGCTGAAATGTGATGTTTAAGGATTGAGGTAATAAAAAAGTATAAGTAGGGTTATTTTTATACAGACACCAAATTCCACTTTCGACATTTTTAAGAGTACTTACTTATGTACTGTACGTCAAAAGATAATTTACACAGTTTTATCCATCTTATACAAGTAGTACTTGGCGATCCTAGTCGAAACACTCAAAAGAAACTCTTTGATGGCAAAGTAGAGGTGTACTTTTTTTGATACAAATTTATCACTAATCGTCTTCGATAATTACGTTTTTTTTTCAACTTTTTCAAGATAATTTAAAACATCGTCGTGTTTTGTTAGCTTTGTCATAGATATCTTTAATATAGATCATCAAAGACTTGAATTTGGTAGGTCAAGTCATAAACGTATATACAGTCAATATTAGCCAACGCATACCAGAATAACAGATAATGACCCCGGCAATAAACGTTAAATTAGTGTACTTATTGTAATTGGATGGATGGGCCAGTACACAGCTAGCTATTTATAAATCAAAACCAGCAATAATTCACAACTTACCATAGTTTCTTACCTCTTGATACCACAACTTTAATTTGTGGTATTTAAATAAGAAACTAAAATTAAATTGTAGGTTAGGTAATTTATCATTAATCATTAGAGACATCATTTTTCTATCGGCAACTCAACATTATACAAATAATCTGTAGGAAGGAATATATGTTTGAAATACTACAAACATCATGACTGATATTTAATCAAAAAAATAAAAAAAATTTCGCATCTAATGATATAAATTATGAAACTTACAGTTTAAAAATAATGAAATGATAATTAATTTATAACCCGGAGTACTGTTATAATTTACTGTAAACGATGAGAAGAAAAATATATTATACTAGCATTCTTACACATCCTTACGGACGTGCAGTAGTCTACAAATCAATAAACAAAAAAAATTGAATTTGAAGAAATAGTATCTTGATTAATAAATAACTATTGGATGATATAGAATTAACTTATTTTAAAATAAGTGAGATTTAAAAAACCCTATTTCTGTTTTGAAATTCAAAACCAGCAAATGAAATAAAAGTATTTTTGATGATATATTATAAATATAAAAAAAAATATAATTTATAGACTACTTATTTCAGTATTTCGAAACAAAATAAACAAATGAGTCATTAATTTTATTCGAAATCAGGAATCTATCATTAATTCTGAATCACTTTATTGTACTCACCAACCGATTTAAAGGCAGCTCGCTATAGAAGTGTGAACGTGATTTCATGATTATTGATTATAATGACTATTTATTTGAAATCTTTAAAATTGTCTAAAAATCAAACTCTGATTTCACTAATCTCAGAGATCACCTTTTTGCAAACCACCGTAACTTTTTTTCAATAGATTTTAAAGTTCAGCAAATCAGAGTAAACCTATAAAAAAAAAAGGGTTGTCAGATCCAGGTTTTAAATGATACAGTCTTCAAATGTTTACATTTAAGTACTGATAAAAGAAAACTGGGCTTTGGACTTTTGAGTTCGACTTAATGGACTCAGCTCCTGAAAAATTAGATTATTGTATAAAATTTATCAGACTTTTTAGGAGCTGAGTCCGTTAAGTTATAAACTCTGTTTTCTCTTAATGTCAGGATGCTGCTCACATGTTTATGTTCATGTGCTTGCGTAAGTGATATGCTTTTAACGCAAACAGACGTTTTAGTATGTAGTGTGGATATAATACTAGTATAATACTTCGGAGTATAACCACTTTATATTAATAGCATTGCTCCAAAGTATTTACTCCTATTAATAATATCTTAATAATCCGGGTGGTGTTATGGAGTGGATTATACTCCACAGTTACTCCAGAGTACTCTACCCCATTAACATCCCTAATTCGGTCACCAAATTTATTATTGATTGATTTAAACCCATCTTCCCATTCATATGGGCCGATTTGCGTCATCACTATTAAAAATGGTAAAATATTTGACAGTGGATAGCTTTTTATTCGCTGGTCCATTTGGGATGATTTTACTACCAAAATGATCGTCTCAACGAGACAATTCTAACGAGTCTAAAATTGTTTAAATTCAATCATGAGATCTCGAGAAAATTCGAAAGCTCTTTGCTTCGGGTAAGGTAGGGTGGGTTTAACCCATCCTATTTTACCTGAAGTAAACAAAACGTTAATTATCTCGGGATCTCATGATTGGATTTCAACAATTTTAGACTCATTAGAATTGTCTCGTTGAGACGATCATTTCGGTAGTAAAATCATCCCAAACGGACTGTCAAATATTTTACCATTAGTAATGACGCAAATCGGCCCATATGTGTTCAAATTTTATTCTTTCTGACCTTAATAAAGTCATTTAACTTGGCTCACTATCGGTAGCCAAAAATTTTCAAATTTTTCGGGTATTTCACAAATGTGCCATAATGGTAAAACACCATAGGTGTGTTTTATAATAATATCAATATAAATTTAATAATAATAATAATAATTAATAGCTACTGAAATTTTCAAATCAATCATTTTCGAATTAAAATGATCCAAACTGAAAACTTGCGACCCTTTATTAAGCATAAATAAAATTTTATTACATTGAAACGCGATGGAACATCCACGAAAACTACGTTAGAAAATTTTATGAAAGTTCGTAATATATCAATAGGAAAAAATTACTTCACTATCTCATAAACAAATATTTATAATTTGTAATAGGACCAGTGTTTAAAATCTATATGCGGAATCTGCGGAAAATTAATTCCGCAAGTAAATTTTCCTTCAAATCTGTGGATTTTATTATGTATCATAAAGTTCACGCGTTTTTTTTTGAATTTTTATTATGTTTACAGAAATTATCAAGCTTTCCGCACATTGAAACAAAATCAAATTTTAAACACTGAATAGGACACAAATTTCACTTCAAACAGCTTCTTTATAATGAATAAAAAAAGAAAATTAACCAAAGGTAAAAAAAAAAGACATTTTGACGACAGCAGCTATGAACAAACTCGAAAAGAATTACAAGTACATAAAAAAAAAAAAAGACCGTTAAAAATAAATTGCATAATGCAAAATATTAATTAGAAAATAATTTAATTTTCTTTGGTTATATTTCTGCAAATAAAAGCTACCGCATAGACGCGAAATAGTGCTCACGGGCATTATTTTGAAATGGATCTCTCTAAAATGAGCATATGTGATCTCAAATTAACGTGCACCCAATATAATCTTAATTGAACAGTGTGACAGTCAGTGTTTAAAATCTATATGCGGAATCATTGTGCACAAATTGAAACTTAATTCCGCAAGTAAATTTTCCTTTGAATCTGCGAATTTTATTGTCATAAAGTTCACGCATCTTTTTTTTGAATTTTTATTATGTTTACAGAAATTTGTCTCTCATCGAGGGGTGAAAACAAAGAAAAAAATGAAATACAACAATGGGTTATCTGTCCCTTCCGCTCATGTGCATATGTACAACAGTGCAGAAATCGAAAGTATCGGGAAAACTAAAAGTACTAACAACTGATGGCTTTCTAAAGCTACTAGCTCATCGTAAGGGCAGGGTGAAAAAAACCAGATAATTTCATCTGGAAAAAACCCTGAGCCCCCCTACGACTACTCTAAACTAAAAGTGACTGTCGTCCAACAGGCCACCCTTATGTAAAAATGTAAGAAAATTTCGCCTGTCGTCCTGGCAGGGTGCTGCAATACAAGAAAAATCTCCTGTGACTGTTATCTTGACAGGCCACTACCCAAAAATTTTATGACTGTTGTCCGACAGGCCATAATTAACAACTAAAAAATGCAGTGACTTGGAGACTATCGAGTTGCCGTGTACGAGGGCTGGGTAGGGTGGAAACGAAAAAACCAGACAAAGTCGGGTTAGCAGAAAAAACAGAAATGGCTCACACAGCGTTTCTGATTTACAGGGAAATACAAGCAAAATTCCCGGAAAATCATTTTACTAATTAATCTATTAATACCAAGAAATTATCTGAAACAAAACAAATAGATCGCCTGGTGTGATACAAACATGAAACCACAAAATTAAGTGTTACAAATAACACGTTGCGATAAGAAAATGATAAGAAAACAAAGAAATTATAATTACTCATCGTTTGCATTATCCAGTAAGTCCAAGCTTAACTGCATTGGCAGCTAATCTATTGTACTTTACAATTAAGTATTATTCTTACGATTAGAATAAGATATTGATAATAGCTAA